AATCGAGTTAAATTTTAATTAACGAACATTGGTTTTGACGAGAGTTTTTTTTTTATGCTGTGGACAACATTTTGGTCGTGCACCAGGGGCTAGTTCAAGCTCAAACCGGTGCGCAACGTTTTGCTACTGTTTCTGGTTTGAACGACATGTTTCCTGGAAACGGTGTGCAACAGGGTTTGAGATGCGTTTTCTCTTGTTTGGTGGCTGTGTCAAACATGTCAGCCCAATCAGCAGCAGCATGTATATAAACCACGTGGTATTAAAGAGACAGCTCGCACAATGCAATTAACATCAAAATAAATTTACAAGAGCAAGTATATTGTTTGCACATGTTTATTTACATTAAAGGCAAAATAACTGAAATAATAAATGCACAAGTATAGATCTGGAACTTCTTTAAGTCTGTCTAAATATCATTTAGTAATTGCAATGTCTTCTGTTGTGTGCTAAATACTGATTAATGTAACATAAAAATACTACATATTTATTTTGCTATTGTATTATGGAGTGACACTTTAATAAACTTTTCTATACCCCTCTGATTATATAATGGTAAATATTACAATATCATAGCACAACAACAGTGATCAGCAATAATGATACACCTAATACGGTCATATAGATTATAACACAGTGTTGGAGGTAAGAAGTCGATCCTTCACCTGAAATGTTTGTCTTTTCATCCTGAAATGCGAGGCAAATGTTGGATCACAATAATTAGGAACCACAGTTTCCACAAATCCCTTCACTCGATTGGGATGTTCTCTTTTATTCTGGACGGCAAGGGCAGTGACTGTAACATTGAGCGTATTTTGCAATATTAAACACGTATTTATACCGATTTCATCAGGCTCTGAACTTCCTTCAAAAAGAACACAAAGAATGGCCTTCTCAGCTGCCATAGATGCAACTCTTGCGTCATCAGAACAGAGTGTTCAACGCACCACCGTTTCCATTTAAAAAACGTTTTGCAACGCAGCCCAGAAATGCAGAGAGAGGCTGGCTTTTGATGGCTGCCTGTTTGAGTTCCTTTGCACCGTCAGAGAAGATGGAGAAATATCTGCTAAAGTGAGATAATATGCATACAAATACATACTATTACTGTTCAAAAGTTTGGGGTCGGTAAGATTTTCAAATAAGTTTTCGAAGGAAGTCTGTTATTTTTACCATGACTGCATTGATTTGATCAAAAATACAGTAAAAACAGTGATATTGTGAAACATCATTAAAATTTTAAATATCTGTACTACTTGTACTACTCTTCTTTAATATGTTTTAAAATGTAATTTATTTCTGTGATGGCAACGCTGAATTACTCCCGTCTTCAGTATTACATGATCCTTTATAAATCATTCTAATATGCTGATTTGGTGCTCAAAAACCATTTTTTATTATTATCAATGTTAAAAACATTTGTGCTGCTTAAAAATATTTGGGGATCATGATACATTCTTTCAGGATTCTTTGATTTGATTTGATTTTTGATTTGATTTGATTTGTTTCAAAAGAACAGCATTCATTTGAATTTCAGTTTTTATCAGTTTTAATTTTAGCTAAATAAAAAGTATTTATTTCCTTTAAAAAATGTTACTGACCTCAAATCAAACCATTTCACACAGTTTCAGTTATTAATGAAACTAGTACAAACAATGCAATAGCATAAGTTCTGTTCCAATATATGAGATTAATGCAATTCCAAACCAATTAATGAACAGTCTCTCCCTCTCCCTGTCAGATTTGTGTCAGACTACGCTCTGAATGGCTTTAAGGCACTGTGCCAACACAAACTCCTCCAAGCAATGCAGAAATCCTACCTAGTCCCTGAAGCATCTCGAACATACCCTCCATCCCTGCTAGAGTGGACCGCCACCCGCGAGAAAGCACACATGGTGCTCCAGGTCCACTGTTTTGATGGTAAGATCCTGATATTTTGCTTTTACATGTATAACAAAATGAATACATGTGAACCATGGCCATTGAGCAAAACAGCATAGTTAAAGTAATAGTTAACCCAAAAATTTAAATTTGCTGAAGATTTACTCACCCTCGGGCCATCCAAGATGTAGATGAGTTTGTTTCTTCATCGGAACAGATTTGGAGAAATGTAGCATTACATCACTTGCTCACAAGTGGATCCTCTGCACTGAATGGGTGCCGTCAGAATGAGAGTCCAAACATCACAATAATCCACAAGTAATCCATAGGACTCCAATCCATCATTTTAAACATCTTTTGAAGCGTAAAGCTTAGTGTTTATAATAAACAAATATATCGTTAAGATGTTTTTAAGTTCAAACCATTGCTTCCAAAAATACCGTTCTAAACAAAACAGTTCTAAACAGTTCTATACAAAAATGTCGGAGGATTTTGATATGACAGGACAACAGGTGATGGATTTTTACACTGGAGGAAGCATTTTTATGGTTTATGGACTGATGTTTTAGCCAGAAGTGATGGTTTAAAGTTAAAATGCCTTAATGATGGATTTGTGGATTATTGTGATGTTTTTATCAGCTGTTTGGACTCTCATTCTGACGGCACCCATTCACTGCAGAGGATCCAATGGTAGCAAATTATGTGATGCTCATCTACAGTAAATTGAGTAAATTTTCAACAAATTAAAATTTTTGGTTCAACTATTCTTTTAACAAACAGAGAAAATGTATTTCAAATTATTGATTATTATTAATTTTCATGTAATCTTTTCCTTTTCAGACTCGGTTAGCATGCTGCCATGTTACTTCAAATTTGCCTTTTAAACCTGAAAAATGGAAAGGCTAAAAAATTACTCCTTTAAAATGAAAAATAACTCAAAAATAACAAACTTTGTTTTCCATAAAATGTTACTGCCTATATATATATATATATTAGTATTTCGTGTAGAGCCATAACCACCATACCAATTAATGGGGTAAAATCTAAGAGCTAAGCATTTATTTGCATTTATTTGGCAGCTGTTTTATAGAACAACCTACAACAATATCCATTTACATGATTCATGTAATTCATAACTGAATGCGTCGATACAAACAATTAATGGAGCTGTTTTCAGCATATAAGGCAAATGATTAAGAGTTATTGTGTGCATTTATATATATATATATATATATATATATATATGGTTCACAGATGAAAAGGGTTTCAAGCATCAAAAAAATAAAAGTGTAATAAAGCTTTAAATTAATTTTTTCCCCCCATACATTAGAATGTATCCTGTTTAATTTTATGTTTTTCTGAGCAAAAAATAATGACTATGACTATCATACTTTTTTTTTACCATCATTTACAGAAGACACCCACTAAAATGTCGTTCAGTGTAACATTTAAATGGCTGATTAGCTTTCGCTTGAGCATTGCAGCACGCTTTCAGAGTTCCTCTGAAAACCTCCACCTTCCCCAGCTCCACCTGTATAGATCTGCTATGGGTTATTTTATATGCTATTTGTGCAGCAGCAGTATGTCTTAAATACTCACAGCACCATATCGGCTTATGTATTGACAGCAAGTTCCTGTACTTGCTTGCAGCAGCAATAATCTACAAATACAGCAATAAGCAACAGCGGCAGCAATTCAGCAGCAGTGTAGCAGATCTATTCCGCCAAGACTAAATACATTAACATTGTCATATCCATTACCATGCTAAAATCTTTCAAGAGTTCTCATGATAGAACTTCAGTTACATTAGTTAACATGAACTAACAATGAAAAATTATTCTAAAGCATTAATTGATCATAGTTAATGTTAATTTCAACATGTACTAATACATTTTTAAAATTAAAACGTTTATCTGTTAATGTTATTTAATGAACCTGAGCTAACATAAACAATGAACTGGTGTATTTGTATTAACCAACATGAACAAATATTCATAAATACTGTAACAAATGTATTGCTCTTAGTTAGTTAATGCATTAACTAATGTTAACTAGGAAGGTTATTGTAAAGTGTTACCAATAAGATTTCATTCTATTTAGGCAAGAAATTGATTTACTTTCTGCTAAACATGAACATTTTCAGAGGAAAAAATTTATAGAAATTGTTCATTTATGGTTCAATCAATGTGTCTTAAAGATGTAATGGTAAAATTAAAGTCCAGAACATTACACTGAATGACGATTTTACACTTTCGAACATTATTTCCCCCCATATATCATCAGTCATCTGTAAAGTTACAGTAGTACAGTAGCAGACAAATAATCATATTTTATAATAGGTTTAGGGGAAGCTAGGACAGACAACAACACAATCCTTACGAAAATGAATGATGATTTTTACTATAAATCCAAAGGCAGTGGTTACTATTGTCAAACCATGGTAACCACAAATTAACCATGGTTTTTGCTACACTAACCATAGTTTAACCATGGAATTTGTAGTAAAAATAAAAAAAAATGGTAATCCATTTCGGAGGAATTATGGTGTTCTTCTGTAGCCTGACGACGAGTAACTTTAACTGTTGTTCATGTGAACTCAAAGACAGCTTGATGCTTTGTTTATAGACTATTTGTGGGTGGCTGTTTGTTGTTTCACCTATCAATTCGTGTCGATAAAGTATAATAGGGTAAATCCTGTATAGTGATTTATCCTATATAGTGCTTGCATAAAGCAAGTAGTGCATACACTTGTAGCTGTTATGTATCTTTGTAAGTCATTGTAAGCCCTCTTTTGAGGCACGCGCAAGCGTTGTATTGTATTGGTATCACTACAGGAACGCCCTTTTACAATGTTGTATCACTCTGCTTGTCCTAGCCGGGTTGTTCCGTCGAACTGTTGTATAAACGCAATATCACTCTCGTACTCGAGTGATATTGCTCATATATACAGTTACAAATAGTTCCAATTAATTACTGTAAATTCTGTCTAGTTAGGCAGCTCACTAGGATTTTAGAACAAAGCTACAATGTCCGACAGAAAACAGCAGTCAGTAGTCATGATTCTTGACTATTAACTATTGGTTTTAAAATTGATCAGTGGCCTTGCTTTGCAACATTGAGCCACAATGCTTCTGAAAGAGATGTAGGTGGTGCTGTTTCCCCCTCTCTTTCTCTCCTTTCTTAATTTCCTTTCCCTCTCTCTGTTGTCTCTGTCAAATAATGCATGTTATTATCAGGTCAGGATGCAAATCAGGACTGGTGTCATCTGTCCATTCTTTCCTCTCATCTATTTAATCTCTTCTCCTGTCATTCTCTGTATTTTTCTTTCAGCCTCTCCTCTTTCATCTAATCTTGCTCACTCTCTCTGTCTCTCTGCTTTATTTCACTCCTCTGCTCATCCAGTTACACTTTCTCTCTGTCCTCGCCTGTTTGGGCTGGAGCCGATATATTAGTCGATATATGATAGTGGGTGTGTAACGTGGATGTGTGTGGGTGTGTGTGTGTGTGTGTTGGTACAGATAAGATGGTCACACTCTGAATTATTTTGACCACTGTTTCCACCTGTCAACTCTCTTACAATTACATAACCATTACTAGCTAAAGATATTAATGACCTCTTATTGGATAATTTCCCCTGCGTGTTGATTATAAGGTGTTAAATAAAAAATGAAAAGTATTTAAGGAAAGCTCACCCACAAATGAAAAATTGATCATCATTACTTAATAAATGTAAGCACGTTGTAAAGTGTAGACTAAGCACATTGTAAACTTAGCCCTCTCATGAATGCACATATGACAGTTGGTTGGAAGCGAAGGTTTATAGCGAAGATGGTTTATATTATAAGTTTAAAATTGAAAGGGGTGGTGTGGACCTGAAAAAATCAGATCAATAGGAAAAAAACTAAGCATGTAAATGCTTGAATCTTCTATCTCTCTAAACTCACTTGGATTATATGGACTCAAGGAGATGGATTATTTTTCTAAAAATGTTTGTTTGTGTTCATCCGAAGAAAGAAAGTCATATACATCTTGGACGATATGATTGTACCCAGTTTGTTTTTTATCTGTATCTTATAGCTAATTTGGATACTCAAGTCTGTTTAAACTGAGAACAGGTATGCGGTTATTTTTTCTAAGCAATCAGACTGAACCTGGAAGACCATAAAAAGCATAGATTTAGACTGAAGGTAAAGGTATTATTTGATTATCTTATTTGTAGGTGTGTCTTTCCTGGACCAATGGAGAGGGCCTTGCAGGAGACTTTTCAGAATTTTCAGAGATTATTAAGGCTGGAATACACCACACAACTTTTGCACAGATTTTCAGTCTGGATGAGTCAGCACTAGTTGCTGAAAGTCAGAGCCAGATTTGAGTTGCCAGATTTCACAGAAAATCATGTAGTTTATGATGGGCACTGACTTGATTTTTTATTTTTTTTTTAGCTTCAGACTGATTCTAACCAGTCGTGGGATATCAAACATGTTTGATATTTTGAGCTGATTTTAGAAAATGTTTTGTTTCTATCTAACCCCAAGGCACACGTTTCTGTGTGAGTCTGTTAATATGTGATGCCCAATTGTAACCATTTACAAAGTCGGCAAGTGTTGGATGCCTTGTTTTTTTTTTTAAGTCGTGTAGGGTGATCCAGCCTTTGGGATCAGTAACCATGGTAACGTTCATCCTGCAGGGGCGTGTCCACTGAGTGTCGATGGGGTTGGTCGGTTTTGATGAAGGAGCCGGCGCAGTGGGTGGAGTTAGAAGGTCACGATTATGTTCTGGATCTGGTGTGCGACCTGGAGCTGCTGCCAGACTTCCCCAAACAGAAAACATACTTCATCATCTCTACTGAAGACCCCAGCAAGGCACGACCTAACGCAAGCATGTACTCATCCCAGAATATTTAGTTGTTCTCAGACATGTTTCCATTGTAGTGCTTTGTTGTGACAATGTTTAATACATATGTTTATTTGCAGAAGTCTTTTTGGCAGTGGATTTGAAGAAGATGAGGATGGGCCGCTCTCATATGCCAACCGAACAAGCGCTGTTGCAACCAACAGTCTACCAATGTCTGAAGGCCACTACAGTATGGGTAGCCTTTTTCAGTCTTTTAAAAGAAGCACAACATACACCCATTCCTAAGTGAAAGGACATAAAGTCGTTGACCCTTCCCAATCTGATTCGCCGACTATTGTTATTCTGCCAATAGGCCTATTGGCCTGTCCCGTGAATAACCAAGCATAACCTCAAGAAACACTAGACTACAGTCCCTGCTTTAATCAGTAGTAGCAGATCTACAGCCCTGCATGTAAAGTAGAATCAGATACACACAGAATGGCTAGGTTACATACAGCTAAACTAACCCCGATGGTGTTCTTGTAACCTTTCTGTGTGTGTGTTCAGAGGATGAGTAACATTATACAGGTTCAAGAGGTCTTGTAGGGGTGAATGCACAGGTCATTGATCATTAATAACTTTTTTGAGGCAGTGGTTTGTTCTACTTGGGTACCTGTTTTCACTTGGTTTGATGCTATTTCAATTTTTCCTTTCTCTTTGGAGTGTTACAAGCTCTTGGTGCATAAAGAAGATCTGTAAAGTTGCAAAGACTAAAGTCTCAAATCCAAAGAGATATTCTTTATAAAAGTTAAGAGTCAACCACGCCTACCTAAAATGGCTCGTTCTAACACGCCCC